CCTGAGGTTTCTAGTTTAGGACAGGCCGCAGATTGCGCCATCTCATTGTCGTGGTGCCTTGGATGATCCCACATCCAACTTGAGGAAGGGAGAGAAGGAAGCAAGCTCGGGACAGCAGAAGGCTGAAGGCTAAGGTTTGCTGGCTACTGTTAGCTTTTCTGGTCAGGCAGGGGAAGAATTCTTGTTCAGTTTGCTAGCCCAACTTTGCATGCCACAAGTGTGTGGGGGTTTCCAAAAATTAGGGGCACCCGTTTAGTGGGTCCCCATAAGAAGGACTATAGTAGTTTGGGGTCTATCTTGGGGGTCTCCCTACTTAGGGAAATTACCATTTGGCACCAACAGAATTTAGCTTGCTACTCCTCAGTTGTCTAATACGGTTTGTTTCACTGATTGAGCCGCTATTGCAGCCCTGCGCAGACCACACACTCTTGTTGGTCTTTGGCCCTAAACCCTGAAACCCAAAACTTTTCTTGGAGGCCCGTTGTACTTATAACCTACTTAGTAACTGTAGCTGTAACCCAAAATCTAGGGTAACTATAGCGATGTGAGTTATGATTAGGTTATACCTACAGATACTAGGTAGGTTATAAATACAAAAGTAATGTCAGCCAAGCTTCGGGAACTTCAAGTCTTCACCTGGCAGTGCAGGGCAACCTTCCAGCTTGACCCCTCAGAACTCCCTCAGAGGATCTCAACAGCAGAGCCGCAATTCGGATCTCAATCCTCCTACTCCCCTCTCAAACACTTAAACCCCCCTCCCCCCACTCCCGAATGACAAAAGATCCGCAATTATACTTAGAATGGTACGATGTTCGAGATATTCACTTTTTGGGGGGTTGTTAGCAGGGAGAGGTCAGAGAACCCGAAGGGATCTACCTTGGCCCAGAATCTGCACAAGGAGGAATACGAAAGGGAGCTACCATGCCAGGAAGCAGAGGCCTCTCTCCGGCCTACAAGGCAGGCCAGAAAGATAAGAATAAGATTTCCACGTAATTATTTATGCTATTCCAAGTATACCGTGGAGGTGTATGAGGGAATAACACGAGTAGTTAGCCAAACTCCTATCGCAGAAGCGCTGAGGGATCTTTGCCAGGCTCTGCAAAGATTTGCGAAGGAGTGATGGCCTCTAGTTAGACGATATCGAAGAAGAGTTTTAAAAAGTCCGCGCTTTCTGCAGTGCTCAGACCCAACAGACTGTTCAGCAAATCGCTTCGCTGTGTATGCTGCTGCGTTCATCAGGTGTTGGCAAAAATCCTGCACCCTGTCCTTATCTAACCACTGCTCCAATTCAGAAAACACCCTGTCCAAAAGCACGCCCTCAGAGTTTGGTCTAAGCGACCTCCCGCATGGATGTCAAGGTACTCACCGTTGATATCCGTAGCCATGACAGAGCACTCTATGTGCCAACCTGCATTGTTTCACTGAATCTTGATCATGCGCCAAGTGCACCCTAACCACTCTCTTAGTATACTGTACTTTAGCTAGGCCACAAGAACAACCGTCTGGCTCCGCCACCGAAATCCCACAAGCTCCCTGAACGCTGCTGGAGCCTGCTTGGTGACATGCCATGACCGTAACACAGGAAGTCAAAAAAACCCTTTTCCCTGCCCAACCTTTGCGAGGAAGCAGTTGTGGGTCTGTCTAGAAGATCCGGATCCCAAGCATGAAGAGCACAAAAAGAAAGTCCGTGTCTAGAACAATCCACCAGGCTTGCGCAGTAAACTACCCACAGACCCCACCAATCGCACCCAGCTTGCACCCCTGTCTAAACGAAGTTTGGACTGACTGGCAGATTATCTCAGGGGTATATGGGTGGTCGGAGCGGGCAGTCTCTGGTATTCGAGGGGGTCGTCAACGAATGGCCAACCTTTTTTGATGCCCTCAATCCATGCGGTCTGCGCAATCTACACTCGCGATGCATGTCTCAGTGGCATCCATGTTCCATGCCCTGCCCATGTCTATGAATGTTGGCATGCTGTCAGCATGCTTTGTCGGCCTCTCCCTGGACGGCGAACAAATGAGGGGCAAGAGCCCCCCAGCGCACATCCTTCACACACCCTCCAAACCCGAAACCTGAACCTTACACAACCTGAACCACTTCAGGAATCTTAAGATATGACGTCGGTCTTAACACTGAAGACTAACTTGTCCTGGACGAGAGACCGGGTCGTCCAGGACCCCACTTGCTCTCCTGCACAGAAGACGCATCAAGCTTAACCCACGAAGTGCAACGGCAAGGCCTTTTCCGAAGCTCTACAAGCTACTACCAGCCTCTCTTGGTCATAAGCATGTTCGCAAATTCTAAGTGACGGTGCCTCGTTTGCTGGCTGTCAACTCAAGAAGGCAACAAGGACACAGCACCAGCCCTGGGAGGGACACGGATAACCACCTCAGCAAATCTGGAATTCCAGTAATGCTCTGGAGATAATACTGCCGGAAGTGTTTTGCTCTTCACCAAGACCTCAGAGAACACGGACCGGACGGGACCGAATACTTAGATACCTGCAACCCCTCTTAAGACGGACTGCTAGGCAGACAGATGCAAACAAATCAGTTCCATAGATCCATATAGATCCAGCACAGGGTTTCCTGCTAATTACCTTCTGTCACGCAACAGCATGGAATCTCATGCAGGCCCCTCAAGAGGTCCCCGTAAATGCTTCCCCCTTGTGTTTCTCTGAGAGACTAGAGTCTAGAGGGTGGGGTAGTTTCATCATGGCGGAAAGACATTCTACGAACCACTCATCCCAGGTGGGGCAGTCCCAAGCAGGCTCACCCGGCTTCGATTTCCTGGGCAGCTCTCGAGACCGTGTGAGCTCGTTTCTGGATTGACGGGCTCAAGTTTTCAGATCTTCTAAGTCAAGCGTTGAGGCCGTGTGCCCTCTTACATGTTAACGCTAGAATGACAAGGCCTGTCTCAAGTCGGGGGTCTCTTATCACCGTGGAAGAAAAATCCTACCTGCTTGTGCGGTAAGTACAGCGCCACATGTCTGAGACGCAGAATCAGGCTAGACTAGGCACCGATCAAATCTGATCAGGTTTCTTCTGGTCCTTTTGGACGCTGGCTGCCATGGTCCCCAAATCCCAGAGCCTCGCCTCGCCAGCCCAAACTCCTTTTTTCTCGAGAACCGCCTACAGGACCTACGTCAACTCGGCTTGGCCATGGTGACCTACACGGAGGATGGCTTTCTCTGATCATCTTACGGATTGTCCCGTATAAGGTTGCACCCCATCATGTGGAAGCAAAGTTGGGGAGCAACTCGCAACCCAAACTACGTTTTAAAAAGGATGCCTCAAATTCTGTATACGCGCCCATCAATCTACGCCTTTTTGAATGGCCCCTTAGAGGCCCAGCAGCTTCCAAAGAGCGAAGTCGTTGGGGCTTCGCTTTTCGGCATCTTCAGCAGCTAGTGCACCCTCGCCTTCCTCCATCTCCTTGGGACGCTTCACGGAGATTCATGGGAAGTTGGCCCCAAGGTCACAAGTCCTTTATGTTGACATGGCTATTTCCCACGGGCTTCCAAATAGAGTTTCATGATGCTGCCACTGGATGATGCGGGGTACAAAGGTCGATGTCTCAAATTGATGCTTCGCACAATGATGGCGTCCGTCTTGCGGGGTCCCAGAAACAAATAAGGAGTCTAGTCTTCCAGGCAGAAATATAGGAGGACACAAAGAATTCTTACGAGCACAGGGGTTGATGCGGATGGACGGGATTTGTGACAGGAAGTGAAAACGAATAAATCTCGTGCCACATGAGCTTCAGGACTTTTTGTATTTGTTTAAGAGCCGGCCGGACACTCAGCAAACATTCAACAAGTGATAACGCACGACAAAACGGTGCCTGACAAGACGGTGCCTGCGTAGTAGCTGCAGGTCCTTATAGGAAGATGTCCATCTCCCGTGTAGCTAAGGGCTTGATCGGTTGATCTTCTGTAATTATACAGGACAAGTTGAGACCCACCTCAGTCCTGCATTGATCCGACGCTCTATAGACCCCTGAAGCCCTTACCGCCTTAATCTTCAATCCCGCCTTGGCAGTCGCGCAGAGCGCAGGGACGAGCTTCCTGCATCCCCGCAAACACTACGGTGACTAAGCGAATTTTGTTGGCTTTCATGTTCAGGAGGCAAAGGCCAACCTAAGTAACACCAAGCCTGTTGCTTTGGCTGATTCCTGAACGAACACCAAAACGATGAAACATTTATTACTTCAAGCTCTGGCCGTGGTCTTCCCTACTGCTCCACTGTCGAGTGGCAAGCCAAAAGCCAAGAAGGTGAAGCTCGAAGAGTTCAGGCAATACAACCAAGTCCGAAATGAAGGAAGGAGAACAAGGGTGTCAGCACTTCCAAACCCTTGGATTTTGTATCTTGGCGCACGTGGAAAAGGAGTCAGTCTCCCGAACAGAATCCTGGAACCCGACGTGCTCAGAACACCACAGAAGCACCACCCTGAACCCGGAGCACGATGACACAAAAAGAAATGCCCCAAATCCTACACCCCAAGCCTGCAGGCCCCTTAACGCGAACAGGGTTTTAAAAACCAAGTTACTCAAGCAGGGCCGGTTGGAAGGGGGGGGACCTCCAACAAGAACCCCTCCTACTCACCCCCATGATAGAGCGGTTCTGTATTGGGAGCATGATGGGTGGCCTTCATTACTACGGGAAGCTGATTATCTGTCAACACTAGACCCTGGCCAGTCCTGTAGTGGTATCCTTAGCCATGCCACAACTGTCAGAGACACTCGTGGGAGGGACCGAAGCAAAATGCATCGGACAATCCTGCCGACACCCTCCGTGGGGTTTGCACGCACTTTGCTGGGGCTGGACCTTGAAAATGAGAGCCGCGTAGCAATCTTTTTTCAGGGGTTGCGCCGGCATTCGCAATTGCTGACCTCTTATCCTCCAACAGGAGGTTGGCAATCAACATGAACCAGGTGTATAGCTCCCTGCTGCGTGTTACCACAGGAGGGCTGAAAGTTTGGCCGGCGCCTCCCGCAGTCTCAATAGGAGGCGCAAAACAATGCAGACTGAAAAGAATCCGTGTCCATAAGGTCGTGGCCCTTGCTTTGGAAGGAGGCAATGTCAAAGTAGACCTGGGTGTTGCTGCAAACCCAAGCCCCCAGCCCACTTTGTTTCCGAAGCTGATGTACTCGTTCTCTTCAGGACTTCCTTGAAATTAGGCCTAGGGGATGCTAAACGCAACTCCCATCTCTCAGCTCTTAAGCTAAGAGGCACTTCCAGCAGAGCCATAGGCAACGCCCATCCTGGCTAAGCTCAGTGCTTGAGATCTGTTCAGGTTTATCGGAAAGTTTGGGTTCAGGGTTTTGGCTTGGGCATGTAGGTTTCATGCTCTTAGCCGACTTCTCTCCCGGGGGAAGGCATCACAAATGCCTGCAAGGGACTCTTCCAGCTTCTCAATGAACTTCTGCACGCGGCCGTCCATGTACTCAGTAATGCGAGTCCTTGGATGCCAGGGTCATAGAAACATGTTGCTACCCGGGCAGCCGTCAGTGTCCTTGAACATCCCAACCCTGCACAGATGGGTCCCCTGGCCAAATTTTGAAGCTCGAGGGAACGGCAAATTGATGGGAGGTCCCAAGCACATGCGCAAGCCTTTGAATCAGCAAAGGTCCACGGGATCATGCGGAAACTTTTCGCCAGGGCTCACCACATCCGGCCGCAGAACTCCCAAAGCGTCCATGTCTTCAAAATACTCCTGGTGTTCGGGAGTTATGGCGGAGCTTACTCAGGTCCATGGGATTCAGGTTCATCCATCTTTCACCCTGAGGCGTGGCCTTTCGGTGCATTTCTAGGCATGCTCCTCACGTAGGGGCTGCCCTGCAAAACTGAATTTTGAACATACCCACACTTCACCAGCAATGGACCAAAACTTGGGCACTTTGCCACCTTACCTTCTTCATCCGAACGCTACCCCTGCTACCATGACGCCGAGGACTCCAATGACGCCGCCGCCTCCTACTAGCCCCACTACTGGCCCAGCTCTGAGGATGTTCTTATCCTGCTCTCATCTTGGACGGCCATCCCTGGGCAGCTCTCCTCCTCGAAGCGGCGGCCGTGAGCGTCGAAGATGGAGTGATCAGTCACTGTGTGACCTGGTTGGAACAAGGAAGGCTCTCCGAAGACTTAGTAGCGAAGTCTAGGGAGGGTTGTGCAAGGAACACATGCATTGGATTCCTGCACCAGGAGGTAGAAGATTGCTTGCATGCGCTCTGTATGTATTGCTACTACCGAGGCCCTTATAGCCATGTAGCTTATGGATTCCAGTGATCTGGACTCTACAGTCATCTGTCTGCTGAAATGGCTTGCTGGAACAGCAACTGCTTTCCATCGCTTATCATCAGTGATGTGCCTCCCAACAGCAATCAGACATGCTCTGATTGATCCCACAAATCTTCCCAACATCCTCGGTGGTGTTTGAACATCTGCAGTGCTGTTGCCTTCAGCGCAGCCCTATATGTGGTACGAATGAGAAGCCTCCCCTCCAGACCTCGGCCCGTACGTGGACATTTCTCCAACATGTGGTCTGGCAAAATCTTCTCCCTGCCCTTCAGAACACGAACCATCTCTGAGATGAGAATCTAAGATAATCTAACAAGGCTCACATCCTGCCATAACGAATGACAGCCGCACCGCAAGGCCAAGAGCCTGTATGAACAGTCAGGACCCCAAAGCCCTGACCCCCAATCTATCAGCAGGCCTCTTTCCTTGTCCAGCTTCTCCTCCCAAATGCGACATCGAATTCCAGGACGAGGAGCAGTGGCTAATCGTTTAATTGAAGTGGCGGCACAGTCGCTCAGCTTAAATTTAGTGTCAGCTTTCGTTAGAGCCCCACGCCGTGATTAGTGCTCAGCATCTGGAAAGGCAGTTCCATCTTCTGCATGTGAAAACTACGGCTGAAAACGCTCGGAAGTGAGAGTCTCACTGCCCTTCACTTGCGAGCCTTTCACTGGAGTAATGGGTGGGACTGGTAGCCGCCAGCCTCTCTGTTTACACAATAGACGCAAACACTGGCTGTGCCACATCCTCCTCTCAATATGAGGTCTGCAAACACAATTGAGCAAATACCCTACAGACAACCAGAGAGACGAGAGTTGCAGTAGGCGCCCGGACTCGGAACCTTGCTGATTCAATCAGGGACTCTCCATGTATACTGCTGGTTCTGAGACACTCTTCTTACCCTGGGACCAAAACACTAAGCCGTATGTTCTGGACCACCCAGAGATCAAGGATTATACAAAACGAAAACACGCAACCCTTTCTCAGGATCCCCGAAAGCAGGCGGTCCATGAGGACTTCCCGAGCTGCCGCCAGGATCGATTCGCTCTTCTTGCTGTCGAAGGCCGCCTGTCAGTTTCATTCGCTGTGTATTAACGCGAGATGTTTCAACATTCGCTCTTGTATGCCCCAAAACACAATATTCCTTATCATAATGTCCCCAAACGGGGATGGTACATTCCCCCACCGCCATATCAAAGATTATGGAAGCGTTTACTCAATGCGAGAGGTAGCAGAAATCGTGGCACCAGTGATGACCTGGTAGCCTACTGGTGGCAGCAGCTGTAGTAGCAGTAGTGTTACAGGCAACATCAGCAGGCAAAAGAATCTGACAATTTGGATCGGCCTTAAAAGTCCTTTGAACAAAGCATCTCGGATCTCCCTTCTGCGAAAGGCCTTGTCGGGTTCTGCCTGGACAACCCCATGCTGAAGGCCATTGACCCACGCTTTCGCGGATCTCCCTAAAAATGTGGAGGGTCTCGTACCCAAAGTTCCAGAAGCCCCATCCAGCAATGCTAGTGCGTCCTGTGTTACCTGTTCCCTGCTTTGCAACCAGCTTCCGCGGAAACAAACACAGGCTCCCTCAACTCTTGCTAGTGACTCAAGTGGTTGCTTCGACCTGGCTCAAGGACGCATTCGCGCTGCATCCGGGCATGAGCACCATCTCTGGGTATACCAAAAACTTTTTCTAGCGATTCCAACACATGCATCCTGGAGTCGGAAAGATGAAATGATCACCCTTCCGCATCCAGAACTCTTGGAGAAATGCTGAGCTTTGCAAACAATCACCCTGAAGCCGCAAAGCTCAGCTAGCCGCCAGCCCAATCAAGCCCCGCATACGTAAACGGAATCCAGCATAAAACTTTCACAAGACTCCATATATGTTGGGCAGGGCGGCAGGACTGGGTTGTAGTTACCATCCTTTGCACCTATGACTAGAACAAGCCGCAATTTGTTGCCATCACCTGTCCCATTTGTTTTCTGTTGGCCACATGCAGATCTTACACTGCCGTTCGGTTTCAGTCTGCCTTGATCTTCGCCTCCAACTCAGAGTGCTGACGCAGTTTGAGCTGATGCTCTTCCAGTGATGTGGTGTACTCCTGGGCATTTCATCTGGCTCCGAGCTTAAGGAGACGTGACTCTTGAAATTTGGCGCGGCTGGGAGCTGTAGAACATATACATATCTTCAGTTAGGCCGGCGGTATGGTTGTTCACTGTTGCTAAGCTTAATCACTAAGCCTACCTACATGTCGCCCGTCTCGTTTTAGAGCTTTCGCCCATTTTTGATATGAAGCTGCTGGACGTACGTATCATTTTTCCACCAGCTCGCGCTTCATGTTGCTTCTTAGAATATCCAAGGTCTCCACAGGTGTGGCCTGCAAAGCCCTCAAGGATCAACCCTGCTCAGTCCTGCTGGTCCTTGGCCGAAGCATCCGCTGCAGGCTTCTGAGGCTCCTTCCTTGCAAAAGGTAGAGTAAGGCTGGTCTAAGACGTGCAGAGTTCGGGTTTGAAGGTGTTTTATGTTTTACAACGCACGCACCCACCCACACTCTTGCCTCCACATGTATCTTGAGCACGTGCTCAGAATGTTAAGTCATCCAGTGACCGCGCTCAGAATGTTAGGTCTCCCAGTGATCTCTATTTGGAGGCCTTGCGCGATGCTAATCATGAAGCGCGCTGCTTCTGCGCAGCTGCTGAGTCAGAAGCGTTTGGTGACCCTGCTGTTGACAATGCCCAATGGAGGTTTTTCTTTTCAAGCTTGGCATAAACACCCCTCCACTTTTGCACTGTGACTTCTTCTGATCTAGTATTGTCTTGACAGTACGTGTCAGGAACCAAACATGTCAAAAGAAGCCCCGGCCATTAACAGACTCAGTGCAGCCAACAATCGCAGCCAGCTTCTTCCCCTTGAGCTCCACTGCCTCAGAAAGACGTTGATGCTTTAGCGTTTTGAATCTTACAGAAGCCGCCGTATCAACAGGGCATGGTAGAGATCATAGCGGTCATAGTGACAGTAGAGTAGTAGGAGTTGGAATGCGTTGGGCATCGTCTGCAAAGAACCTGGTTGGCCAATCTACCAACTAGGATCCTCATAAGGCCCATATGTACGCAAGGCTCTACATGGCTACCTGTAACCATGGCATAACAATGGCATACCTGGATGCCTCTCTTCGCATGTCGGCGACCCTTCCCAGAAGGACTACCAGCTCAGGCTCACCGAGTGTCTGTGTTGAGCCTGGAAACTCAGTCCCACCTCATCAGCCCGCTGGAATCTTAAAGCTTTTACTGCTCTGGATTCCCTATTCCATTTCAGTGGTGCTGCTCAACGGTGAGTCTCCTTCATTCAGGCCAGGTGCCGTTGTGACTACCTTCTTGAGCTCCTCTAGCCCCATCTTCGATGCTTCCTGATGCACATAGAAGCTTCTGTTTCTCTTCTGCTAGCTGCTAGAAGTAAGGAGCTATTGTATGCTATATCTTTGGGATTAACAGGGCTTTGTTCCCATGCACAGAAGCTAGGAGCCCTTCGCAGGCTGCTCAAGAGCAAAACATGGAAGCTGCCTAGTGCGGCTGGCAACGGATCCTGGTACTGGGACACCCTCTTGGGCTATCATTGATGGTTACAGTCTTTCAAAATGCCCCTCCACACAATCCCCCAAACGTGGAACGGGTCTCCAAGGGAGACCAATTCTCAGAACCTCCCATGCAACGTTGAGCTTGATCCCCAGAACGTCTGTGTCACAAACCTGGACCCCAGCCCATCCTTGCAGTCTCTGTGCTGCTTGACGAAACAACCAAAAGAAAACGTGCTGAGCTTTGCATGCTTTTCCCCCCCCAGGCTTGAACAAATGTTTTTCAGGCTTGCTGCTGGGTCTGGCAGAAGTCCAGAACTTGACCTAGCTCTCGGCATTTCGAAGCATCAAAACGTGAACGGTGCCTCCCAGTTGGTGACGAAACGGCAAAAACACAAACGACGGCTGGGATTGCGAATATCAAAACCTTCCACGGTTCTGCATCCTGGGAGAGGGGCTCACTGTATAGAACTTCCCTGGCTGTGGCTCCAGTTACTTTGATCTGGTCTGTGCCTTGGAGAAGTCATCGAAGAGCTTGTTCTGCCGAGCTCGCAAGATGATTTTGTCATCAATGTCAGTGATGTTAATCCTGAGCATGAAGCCAGGCTGAACAACTCGATTTTAATGTCGCCGCGCGGACTAAGACAGCTGTGGGGAAACCTGAATTTGGAAAGCCGAATGGATGCTTACGTAGGTTGTGAGTTTCAAGAAATGGCCTCTACTTCAAGTGATGAGTTTTGTAAATAGGCTACTCTTCATGTGTTCACCACCAATGGGGCAACGGTGGGGTGGGCGAGGATCCCCAACTTGGCAAGTCATGTGCATTAGCACCTCCAGGAGGGGACAGGACAGAGGGCCTTACTTCTTTGACAGAAACGTAAACCCAGCACTAGGTAGGCCAGGCTTTCTGGCCATCAACTTCTGGGACGCACCCTGTCGTCTCAGCGAAAGGAAGTGTTGCAGATTGAAGAACCGTAGGCGGTTCACAATTTCACTCCTGTTTGCAGCAATAGAGTAGGATGGCAGGCTTTCATAGCATAACCTGCTAATCTACACTACCTTTGTTCCGCGTTTAGGAGCCGGACATTAGCCAGGCCAAAGTGTGCAGCCTGAGAAAACGATGTCCCAAAGGTAATCTCAGGCAAGTCTCTGGTATTTCACCTCGAAGCCCAAATAGTTCATCATTATTCCTGACATCATCAGGGGTGGTGGAGGGGTGGGTGTCCAGGCTTCCAGCCTTGTTTATCATCAGCCTTTATTGTCACCAAAGTGCATCTTTAAGGCCAGGTGTGGGCTACCCAGCCACACAACAAAGCTTTTATTGACAAAGGTGAGTGCCCATGGCCGCGACATGCGGGCTAGTGGACTTTGGCAGTTGCCTACGAGGCATCTGGCTGGTTTGGGATAGAAAAAAGATGTGCCATTATCTTCACCTAAAGCCAGTTGGCCTGAACAATTTGCCAGCACGGGCACGCAGGAAAACCCGTACAGAGATAGACTTTCCGACATCTTAGAGTTGACCTGACAACAGTTGCAAGAGGGCCCACACCTCAAGGCCCAGACATCACCACTACTGATTAACTTCGAGGCATACATAAAACGCCCTGGACCTCGAACCCGACAGAGCTGGCAATCTGCAGCCGACATCAACACTCCCTTCAAGGATGCCAGGAACTTCACAAATCTGTTCTTGGTTTCCGCTTGCGCCATGTAGACTTTAGGAGCTGTGTGGGGCTGCTCGGTAATTCTGATCAGCGAAGGCTCTTCGAAGGATGTCAAAGGTCAGGTACGCTCGGGCATGGCCCATGTGCGCGACATCATAAACCTCGGGATATGCGCATGCAGAGAAAGGGCCCAGCTATCTGGGCCAAGGCTGTTGGGCCCTTGGTGCTATGACGCTTTGCAGGCAACCCTAGCTGAACTGGAAGACACTCACACCATCAGCCTTGATGGCAGAGCATGGAGAGGCTTAATGATTGCAACTGGATGCGAAGCAACAGCCAGACAAATCTTCTGCAAGTCCAGTAAACTTGCAAGATGGCAGCTGAGCCTTTACCAAATTACATGCTCTCCGAACCATGCCCAACCCTCCTGCTAGTTGGGCCTGCAAAGTCGGTGGTAAGGCTGTGCGAACTTTACGTCTCAGACGTGTGTGGCAGAACGAAGAATCCTGCGACCATCACTTGAGGCTGTCATGCTGCCCTAGGTGGACACTGAGATCAACCTCTGTGCATCTCGGCTGCTGTGGGACCGCAGGTGTACCAAATGACCTTCTTCTCCTTCCGGCGAATACGGATGAGTCTGAACATGCAACCATGATGGTGCTGTCAAAGCAAGATTCCGGCTCAAAAAATATACTCCATCCAGGTAATTCTGCCCTTCCTTGCAGCATTTCACAAGGACGAAGGCGCACTCAGGTTCACATGCCACATCTCAGATACCTCCTTTGTGCGGTGTGTGTGTGTGTGTGCCTCAACCTGAATGGGCAACGACCCTGCGGAATAAATTTGGACCTCAACGCACGGCACCGCCATGCGGAAGCGCCTGTGTGTCATTAACACTGCAGAAAGAATATCCCCCCATGTGCCTGGAGGGGTCTGAAGGGCTCCTTCTCGCCCGTGAGGCTGTTCATGACCTGCACAAGGTTTGCGGTTTCAGGGGTTGAAAGCTCCATGGGGTGGCAGGGTCTGCAGCACTTGCCGATAGTGAGGCCCAAGCCCCGAAACGGGATGCACTAAATGCCAAAAAACGTGAACTCCAGACCTACCGAACCCTGCTTGCTTGACAGTTGATGGCGCCTGCAGCTTTGCATCATGGCCAGCCTGCAGCTTCAAAAATAGAAACATTCACCGCTTGCTTCTCCTCTCTGCAATGACCTCCTGATGCTTTTTCTACCAGGCCCACCGGACCATTACATGGCTCCGCCACGATATCCTGGCACTGGCAACCAAGGCGCATTAGGGACCAGCCAAGGCGGGTGGGAACCCTTGGTCACGGTCGACCTGCGCCAGAGATTGCCACTTGGACCCCAAAATCCCAGCGGTCGTGGTCCAACAGCTCTTAGAGAGTGCTTCTGAGCTTGGGAACTTCAAGGGAATTCGACTGTTCTCAGCCTGCAAAGACACAAAGCCTCAACAAGCAACTTTCTGGCGGATATGCGGGACTTTGTTGGTTCCCTTCTCTTGGATGAATGAAGGATTGCCTTGTTCCTTAGGCTAAGGTTTCGTCAGCAGACAATCAGCGCCTTGCAAATCCAGCGCAATCATCTATTCAATAGTTGCTCGTACTGTCCCAGCAATGCCTCTTGAATTACCAAGTCTATGGGCCCAGACTCGGGGAAGTCTCAATGCATTGGGGTCACTACGGCGAGCCCTGAACACCTTCACCTCTGCAGGACACAAGTCGTTAAGACGGTACCCCACAAATCCCAGACCTTTCCCCCGGTAAGTCATTCCCAGGGAAACTGGGCAGCTAGCACGCCACATGTTTTACTGCCTACCCTCCCTTCAAACCTCCATTGGAGCAGGCCTCTCGAAGCCCTTTCCCAGGAGGTCAGCGCCGAAGCTGCTTTTTGCAGTTGCAGGCGGAGACTGTCAGACCGTGCTCTACAGAGCTTGGCACTTGGAGGTATGGGGTTCTCACAAGATGGAAGGACTGAAGCTGCTACACTTCTATGTTGCGCTCCTACTGAGTACTACCGAGTTGAATCAGGATTGAATCCTTCAAACTGTACCATCCACGCAAGCAAAGCCGCGGCACTTCTCGACTGCAAAATGGATATTGATATGTAGGCCCGACTGCCTCATGCCGTTTCATCCATTTCATCCCGCCAAAACTAGTCTGACTCTAAAATGATGTTGCCCCTGAACAGCTAAGACGGGGCTTTCCAAAACGTTCAGCGCCTGCTCCCCGCACTTCGTGCGTCTTGAACTTCAATGCAGGATTCTCACTTTGCGTTGTCACTCAGGTACACATCCTGCCGGTTTATTTCTGTCCTCGAATTGCGGATTCGAATGGAATAGTGAATTGCACACGAAATTTTTCGGATCTCGTAAGATGACCCCAGGTGAGAGTTTCCTTTTCGGATCCTGATAACCAGGAGGGCTCGAGGGCGAGCCGCATCTTGAACAAAAAGCAATGTGGAAGTCTCTCCAATTTCATCCTCCAGACAGGTTCCTAAAGTCTCCATACCTTCCCATTTATCCTCACAAAGAGACTGATTTTGAGACTCTCCGAAATCCGGCCAGCCTCGGTTGCGGGCGCCTTTGCCGCAACAGTGCCATTGCTTCGACCATTCGCCCTGGCCGCCATTCTGTGCGTGGGGGCTCGCTCATCGTGATGGGGAGCATCGGCGCTGGCAACTGGGTTCGGGGTTTTGTTTTCTCCCTCTTCAGGCCTAGGGCTTGGGATTAAGGCCAGGACCCCCATGCTAACTGTTTGCATTGATTTCCACCATCCAGGCCGGGTCTTATACCTGAGCCCAACAGTTCCCACTTGGCTGTTTCGGAGACGTGGCAAATTGAATTTGTTCAGCTCACTCTCCGAGCGATGCTAGTACAACTGCCGTCTTTCTGTTTACTTACAACACCTGCCACATACAGACTGTCACAACGTGTGAGGGAAATGGAGTATAGGGATACTGACAGATTACAGTTAAAGGTCCATTTCCCCTGGCATCCGTGACACCTCGCAAGGCCGAGCGCCGGCCCTGATCGGATGTCCAGGCCCACCTGCAAAGAGAAGCTGTTGACATTAAGGTACGGAGGTGGTGCGCGCCAGAACTGGGGGCGACGGGTTGAGACTAGTAGTTCAACACGATCCGTAGTATCTTTGCTTTAACAAACCACTCTCAAAGAGTTGCATCGGGCGTGGCAAACCTGGCAACTGGTATACTTGCCAATTACCTTGGGCTTGATGTGCTGCTCTGTTTGTTGAGATGCTCATGGCTGTCCAGAAAAATGCCTACATGCCTTGGCCATTGACCTTCCCATTCCGCTTCTGACAACTTGCATGAGTTTTGCCAAGGCTCTGGGGAGGATGCACTTTGGCCGCTTGCAAACGAGAACGCGACAAATTACAATACCAGTTAAGCAGGAGCTAGTCTATGAGCCCTGCTATGCCCATCTGGTCGTGCCTTCTTTCCGGGGTCTTGGAGCATTTATACCCTGAAGTCCACAAAGAGCTTTAGTGCTCTAGCGCGAGATCACTGCAAGCCTTCGTGGGGAGAGACAAGACGGCAGCAATAGCTTAGATGTGATAACTGGGACGGCAGTATCATTAGTACGGCCGGTATGTGCCTTCTGCCTTCACCTCGAGCACTATTCGTGCTTAGTGTTATGGGTCCTCACGCTCGTCGTCACTGAAACACAAAGAGAAAGATACAATGAGCAGCTCCTTTTTGTCTAAATCTCGATATCGTGGGCTCACCAATTTCAAAATGCCGCCTACTAAATGTAAAGACCTTGAAGAAGACCTTATAGGCTTGACCCTCACCAAGCTAACATGGAGTCCATGGAATTTCTCTTTGAAAGCACCGTAGTCTAGGGGGGCAATTCGATCCCCCGAGCAGTTTGCCGCTGCCTTCTGCAGGTAGCCTGCGTCCATCCTCGGACATCCGTAGGAGTTTTGTCCCGCAGATTTTTGTTCTCGGATGTACTCATGAAACCGAAAAGAACAAATTTCCACACTGGTCAAGCATCCTGAGTCGCAGCCGCCGAATCCTGCTTCATGCTAAAGCAAGACCATTCACCGCTCTCGTGACACGCACGCATTCTCGTGAAATGCACGCTCCTTGTAAATCTAATGTCAGGAATGGGTGTAGAATGGTGTAGATATTTATGAGTCCCTTGCTCCTGCCCTTTGTACATTCAATCATCCAGGGCTGTCGGCTATGTAGGGGCCCACTTGCCACACCCAGCCAACGTCTGATCGCTAATCTCTGCCTAGCGCCGGCGCAGGGACCGGCAAAGCGAATAATCAACGCAACAATCCTAGAGAACCTGCCGCACCCAGCATTTGGCAAACTTGCCCAAACATCAAGCTAAACAATCAAAGTTGTTGCCCGAAAGACCCCTCAAGCCCCAGGTGGGCCAGTGCCCGAAGTCGGGTCCCATGTACATCTATGATGTGATTTTGCTCATTCTGCGCAGCGCTCGTAACCTCCTAACGCCAAAGCCAAGAGCATCCCGAAAGCGCCAGACAGGAATTCGGGCAAGATGTAACCTGGTCTCAAGACCTAAACTGATCGCAAACGCTTCACAGGAGTGCAAATGTACTCATATACGTGGCTAAGATTAAGCGAATGCCTTCTGAGGCACACAATAAGCCAAAATCCAGGTCAAGCGCAGGTGTCACACGGACTCCGAAGCAGGACATATTACATTGAGAAGCCTGGCTATCTAAAATCTAAGCCCTCTACCTTCTACAACAATTTCGCATGCCCTTCATGTGCATGCAAACACTGCATGGCTCCAAGAGGCCAAGCTTGAGGACCCCCCTACGATACTATAATGTCTATAACATACTATGATATCTACAATCTACTATGCTATACTTAAATATCCATGTTTACCGGGTCCTTCACAAAATCGAAGTGTGGGAGGAACCCACGCGGAGGGGCCGACTGCTCTCAAAGCTAGGACATTGGAACAGCTGCGGAAGCCAAGCAGTGACAGCTTTTGGGGTTGGGGGGCTTGAGTTCAACGGCCAGTGCGATTGTGCGGGTTCCTCTTCTTGCTCTTCGTCGCATGCGTTGTTTCTTCGACGCGGAGGATGCTTTGCAGGCCGTACATGTTGTTGCACAGGATTACAGGATTGTGCGGCGGGGCTTGTCTCAAAAGCACCCGGTCTGCAAACATGATGAGTCCTTGGCCTTGTATTGCCGGTGCGTCCTTGTAATTAGTACCCCAAAGGAAAACGCCAAACACAAGGTAATCGAGGATATGCAATTTCAAGGTGCCAGCTTGAGAATGTCCGTGTATACACTAGACTGCCCTCAGAGCCATCCTGGAATGAGACACCTCGAACATTGCGATACGCCACTTGCCAAGCCTAGTGGTCCAGTATTTAGTTTTTGAGAAGCTCCCTGGCTAGGTGAGCTTTCTACAAAACACCAGTGCTGTGTGTAGTTGTAGTTTACAACGGCTCTAGGATGACGCTGTATGCGAACACCAGGCGAGCCTGCAAGAGAGCTCGAGGAGTTGCTTCTTGTTAGTAGTGCTGGAACAGATTCCGGAATCCCCACAAAAACTCTAATGACCTATTCCTGCATTCCCTATGAGCTGAAAGTAACCACAGGCTAAAAAAGGAAGTGCCAAGCCGAACGGGTAACTTCGACATGTTGCCGTGTGCCAGGCCGTGGCAGCGCCCATGCCTGATCCAGCCTAAACGCACGATATCTTTTGAAGGCTTGGGCTTAGGATTGTGCATGGGGCAGGGTCCTCCTCTGTAAAGACTCCCAAAGCAAACGGGAGATTGTAAGGGCGTGATTTCAAGGATGAAAGAAATGTCTGGGGGATTCTTACAATTATGAAGGGTTGGTGGCCAGGCATGCGCGACAAGCGCTTCCGAACAGTCATGCTTTCGCAGCCCCATGGACTTGGGAAGTGATGTCTTGGAGCAAGGGTCTGGCCTTCGATCAGGGTTCAGGGTTTAGGGCCCCAAGCCCTCAAGGCCTACGCGTAGGCCCCGCAACATGCATTCATGGTCAAGGGCGGACTTGAGCAAATGAGTGGTTACCCCCCCCCCCCCGAGAGCTAAGCCGCCTGCACGGTTCCCAACTGGCAACTGCCTGCTCGGAACCGTCCTTGCTATAGTAACATAGTAATATGGTTTTAAAAAGGCAGTATAGGGATATAGGAATAGAGTCAGAAAGCAATAATATAGTAATATAGCAATATACTGATATAGTGATATAATAATATGGTAATATACTGTCATATAATTAAAAAGAGACATAATGAAACAATAATATGGGAACATAGTAACATAGTGACAGTCAGTGTGTCCCTTTGGCCCAGGCCTGGTCAGCGTGTGCCCGCCGAGGCCAACCTGACTCACGTGTTGCAAGGTTTTGCTGAATAGGGGTTACTCCTATAGGGACGCTATAGGCTCCGAGAGCAACATATTGGGATGAGAATGAGAACGCACTTGTGCAAACCTTGCTTCTGGCGACTCTGACCCAGTTCAGGAATACCTGGAGAATGTCATCCTGAAGAGGCTTCATCAATGCAGGCAGGCAGCCAAACAAAGCAACAAAAGGTAGTTCCTCGCGAAATTGCGGCGCGAAAGCACCTCATCATGGGAAGCGGCGGGACGCATCCCGAGCAGGGTTCAACTTGTTCATCTCAACCCGGAAACTCTACCACTGGATGTCTGCTTGTTTGATGTCCCGTCGTATGGGACCTAGCTCATCCGGGATTGGAAAGGTTTCTTGTACATGCGGACAGCGCGCTCCGTCGTTCCGCAATGATGTTTCTGGTATACAGGGCTGAAGGACCGTCCTGTTTGCTTCTGCAATATGTGGTGCAATGAATGCAAGAGCTATTCTGGGATATTCAAATCTGCAGCTCACAGCGCCTTCGCAGGGAAGCGCCAGGTGGCCATGTGCATAGGAAAGCAGATGGCAAGTCTATTGACTCCAGAGCAACTTGGGAGCCTGCATCTACGAAAGCAAGGGTTTCATGGCATTGTTGGAAGGTTGCGAGCCTTAGTTTGTGAACTGCTCTGCAGAGGGGCTCGGCACCGCCTGCCAAAGTATCATCTTTCTCCAAGCCTCTACTCACGGCCTTGCAATACTGGTGGAAGCAAGGAGCGGGACTTCCGGGCAACCCGTCTGGTCGAGTATTCGTTTTGGTCTGTCTGTTCTTTCCTATGACATGCATGCAGGCGGCTGTTGAGAATGCTCGGCGCCCAGTTTGCGAAACCCATCTGTTCCTTTTGGCAAGCAGTGCAAGCAAAATACACGCAGTCGATATGCTACAATTACACAGGTCATATTGACGCCACTGCCATCAGGGTTTTGGCTTTTTGAAGCTTCTGTATCAGTTGGGCGCTCGCTTTTTTCTGCGACGCGGAGAATGCGGTACAGCGATGCGCCCAGGTGTTGCCCATTCATGGGCCACTGCCCGGGTTTCAGATCTCGCTCTCCGCTAGCTTGAAGATATAGTCCCAGGCCTTCAACCGCACCGGATGATGGGGCTGCTGGAGGACTGGCTTCGGCTTGGAAGGTGCAAGCAATGACGAGTCTTGCTTTCGTGCTTATTCCGATGATTCTTCGGTGGGAAGACATGAAGCTGATGGTTGCTAGGAACATCGGACGTTTCAGTCCTGCTCCCTCTTTCATAGTCAGTGAGAGAACTTGCATGTCTGCTGAAATTCGAGGGGCTACCCCAATGCACCATGAAGGAAATGGAGGGAAACAAGTTAATGATGTGCTGGAGACAGCCGTGGAGTGAATTGACTGTCTCTCCTCACAGCATACTCCTGCTGCTTGTCGGTCTAGAACTACAGCCTACTTTCTCACTCACAAGGACCAACTCGTCCACGGCAACATCAGAATACCCACTATTTGCAGGAGTGCATGACCAGCTCCTGCAGCTTCAGAAACCCAAACGGATTTTTCAACCTCAACACTTCAAGACCATCTCCCTCATTCGGCAGGTACACATCTGCAGGGACCCGTCCTCCGCTGGAAGAAGGACGGTGGCCTGTGGAAGCTACTGTCAGTGTGAGCACGGTTTATAGTATCCTTTGGCTTTTGAGGTTCCAGGTGCCCAACTTAGGACTAGTCAGCCTGTCCTAGGAAGTGTAGGGGGTTTAGGGTTCCAGGTTCAAGCTTTAAGCCTCAAGCGCGGGAGACCAGACCATGGGGTGAAAGAGGCAGGTTACATCCTTTCCTGAACCTGCATTCACATCTTCCTGTGAGGTCGGGTTGCTCTGCTTCTGAATGCTCCTGTGACGGGTTGGGTTACTGGGCTGGGCAGAACGCATAAGTACTCAAGGTGCTACAATTCCAAACTCCAAAACAAGCAAATTCCTAATCACAGTGGCATACCGTTTAAGTACATGTTTGTGCTAAAGCAGCGCATAGTTAGCAACTTCCAACCATCACAAAACGTCTCGATAAGTTCGTGCTGGCGCAGGAAAGATCAGTTCTAGACCTAACGCTGTGCCCCCCAGTGGAGGACCCTAGCAGATTTGTTTTTTGCATGTAAGCCTCTTCTGCACCACAACACCAGCTATGTACTACTAGCAACAACCCATGCTGCAATGAGTCCAGAGTGGTATGAGCACTGCTGGAGGCCCTGGCGCAAAGTCCCAGGAGGGGGACGGTGGCCAGTTGTCCTTGATTCTGCAGCAAGTTTTTTATTTAAGGGGCCGGGACACTGGCAATAGATGTCTGCCAGCCCTGCGGTAGAAATCTGGGATCAACCTTTCCCAAAGGCTCTTACTGTATTACTGTTCCAGGCAATCTCCAGTAAGATTCAAGGCGGTCAGAATTCACCGTCCCCTCATGGTTACAGCCCCAACCTCCAAAAGGGGGCCTCTGGGAGCAAACACTGGGAACTTCTGAACAAACACGACACAACATGGTGAGATCGACTAGATGGTGGTACCACATGTCAAGCTTTGCTTCACGAATGGGAACGATCAACATGTCCAGCATGTTGAACACTTAAATGTTGCCTTGAACTCCACAGCTGAACTTATATACTTCTTTGAGACACTATAGTTTACTATCATATGCAATAGTATACTATGATACGATATAACTATGATACACTATAATATACTACTTTGCAAGAACAAGCCAGGCTGGCGCTGGAGCCCCACTGGAGAGACATTGTCCTTTCAGAGGCATTAGGACTTCCAACATCAGAGCAACGCTGGCTGCAGGAAACAGCACCGCACCACGGCTGCGAACCAAAAGTGAAGCTGAGAGCCAGTCCTGTGGAGGCAGGACCTCCAATCAGCTTGTGGACTTTTTGGGCTGTGTCTCAGTCTGCAGGCACATGTGATGTGCAATTCTTGCCCACAACAAAGTAGTGGTATGACTCTTCCGAGCAACGGCGACGACAACAGCTCGTTTTGCACGACTTTGACCGACATCAGGGAAGGAAAAGTTGTAAGCAGGTTCTTTGAGAACATTCTCCAAGCTGCCTTATTACCCTCTGCCATAACTCGTAACTTTTCTTTGGTAGGCGGAGGTACCCAGGCATCCGCAACAGCACCTGCTGCTTGAATCCTGAACTCCTCAACCATTGCCTCTCCCTAAATGCATAGCCCTCTGACAGGTAGCAATGCGCACGGCCTCACCGCTCAAGCCATCTATTAGAACATGCACCGGCCAATGTGACAAGGCGCTAGCAGTCAAAGGACATCAGTACAGGGGACAAATCAATCAAAGCTTTCATGCAACAGCGATAACCGTTCAAGCGATTACGAGCACAAATGATGATAGTAACTTGTAGGTCCCCACAGCACAACCTCACTCAAGACCTGGGCTGGGGCACCTCGTCCGTGCGCCGGCCGAGGAGCAGCTGTATCAGCCATATCTCCCGCAGGCTGCAGTTGCTTTTTTGGTGGTTTGGTTCTGTGATGAAAGGTAGGGGAAGCTGGAACATCGCTCCTGGGTACTCAGGAGCAAATCAGTGCAAACAGAAGATCCCCCTTGCTTGGTACAGGCTCAGCTCTGGAGAGTCAGCAAGTAAGCTGTACACTTCCTCATGTGGTTCAGGATCCTTGTAACACTGTAGACGGAGCAGCAGCAGTAGCAGCACGCAAGCACTACGAATCTTCACAGGAAGCGATGAAGCAAAATAGCTGAACAACAGACCTCATGCATGGCCATGCGCATATTCGTGGTTTGAAATGTGCGGTCCCTCATCTCCTTTCCCTGTCTTTAGATCTTGGAGCTAAAATGATTTTAAGACCAAAATCCAAGTAATCTCGTTGGTCAGTTTGGAGTGCGCATCTGAGCGCTAATTTGTCAAAGACACTTGGCGATCCTGTTTGGTCAGCGGCCATTTCCTGCACCCGCCATCTTGGGTAAGCAAATGCACCTACTCAGCTGGTTTAGAGGGCTCTGAGAGAAACATATACAGACACGCAGGTGCCAGGCTTGTGAATGCATATCGACTGGATGTTCCCAACACGATGTTAACAAAAACTCTTCCTACTACTGCGCCGCCGCCGAATCCTACACATCTTGAATTGAAGCTGGAGCAGGCCAAAAACACCTGGAAAGAAAAACCGCTTAGATATGTGAAGCATGTAGCCTCAGACAAAGCATGCTAGCCCTTCAACAAGCTGTCTGAGCTAAGGCCCGCACCAGGATGACCTCACTTGCATACATTCCGCGAATGTCATCGCGTCCAAGCTGGCAAGGAGCTAAAGGGCTAACAGCTTGGTCTTCGGTTTCGGAATTTCGGGCACATAGGTTCGCGGTCCAAGGATTTGAAGCCTGTAGGGACGTGAGTAAGACTTTACTGGTCAGTGGTAAGACTTTGGTTTTGGAAGGATTCAAGGTGCGCTCATCTCTGGGACCTGATAAACTTGTAATTGGGGTTCTACGCCGTTCACATAGAGCTCATAGGGCTTAACAGTTGCAGTAAGTGCAATCCTCTGACTCTAGTATCAGGGAGCAAGGGCTTTGCAGTCGGTATTGATCCAAATTAATGATTGAGAGCGCATATGATGCGGTGAATGATGTGCGGCCTCCCATGCTGTCATCATGCCTGGGGATCGTTGGTTTGCGATGCTGTGCTCTACGCCTACGCGTGCAGGTACAATTCGTGAGGGCGTGCCCTCCCATAATTGGATCCTTGGCTTGACATGCTGCTCTCTTTGAGTTTGCTGTTGCGTTGCGGCCATCGCGGGCACGTACGATTTGAGGAGGGCGTTTCCCTTAATAACCTTATATCTCCTCGTATAACCGCAGTTACTGAAAATGGAATGATACCAGCGCAATAGCAGAAGCAGTACGGGCAGTAGCAGTAGCAGCAGGAACAGCAGAAGTAGTTTTGTGTAGCAGCAGGGCAGCAGTAGCAGCAGCGGCAGCGGTAACGGCCGCGGCAGTAGCCGGAGTGGGCAGGAGGAGTTGCCATTACATTGCTAATGTCATATGTTGGGACTAGAGAGTTCAGAGGCCTCACCATGCAAATCAGGATGCAAAATTACAAGCACCTGTGAGCGGCGCCGAAAGCCTAGAGGCCAGCCTTCTATCCAATTTAACACGTTCTCAAGCCTCTTTAAACTTATCGTGTTCGCATCCGTTTTCCAATCAGTTTTCCAACCAAATAACATAAATTACAACATTATCATCTTGTTTACTCTTATCGTTTTCCCACGATCTGCACATGCCGATAAATTGTGTCAGTTCTATATAAACCGTAGAGACCGGGGCTTTTGTCCCACTCCTGTGTTCTGATCAGACGAAAGGCACGATTTAGATTCCAAGGGTCTCTTTCCTTTCATCTTCCCTCGTACCTCGTTTTTCCAGAACCTTTCCTTCCACACAGCTCCCGAAACCCTTTGTACATGCGAGACTGATATTCACAATTCCAGCGCAGCCTCCAGAAACATGGCGCTAAGGCCTCAGGATTCACAGCATGAGACTTGTCTCGGGCGCCGCCAACAACATCCTCAAACTCCAAAATAGAACGAAGCAAAAGAATCAACTGAAAAGCTCAGGCAAGGAGAGAGCTACAAGAAGGAGATAAAAAGGACCTCATGGATTTGCTTCATAGGGCCTACTCCATCTCTTTGCAAGGCATTTACCACAGCCGAGAGGGGCACGGTGGGTCCACTAGCCGCACAAATCCCAAAGCAACTCAGTTCTGAAAGAACTTACAAAGCAACTCTCCGGCACCTTTCTGCAAAGGTGCTAAAGCCAGGCCTAAACTGTCCGTTGCTCTCATTGCTTCTTCCTTGTCATTGCTACTTCGACTGCTAGCGCCCTGCGCGACTCGCAAAATCAAATGACTGAACAATGCAACCTAGATAACCAATATGTTCAAAGCTCCATTTAGTTGGTGCTATGGCATGTCCATCAATAGCGGTTAAGTCAGGAAGCAATCTTCCATTAGAAATCCATTTGGAACTAGTTAGAACTCATACATCGGCGTATTCTCCCGGCACAGCATGAATCTCTGGCCCTGAAGCCTTAAACCCTATTGCTTCCTAGAACCTCTTGTAGATGTATATATATATATATACACATATAGTTGCAACTGTTCCTTTGTCTATCATCACCCCTAGATGCGTCTATTAATACTACTACTAGCCGCCCCCCCCGCCTACCAACTATGTTCCGTTAAATATCAGGGGTGGGCTGTCACGAACCTAAATAGAAGAGGGTCATGGTGGAACGTACCTCACCCACGCAAAATTAGCAAACATGCTGTAAATGCCAG